CAAGTGCCATAAGGACCTCGTTCTGAAGTCGACGGACCTTGCCGTCTACAAAGGCGGCGGTTGATACTTGGAGGTTCTTAGGTTGAGGGTTTAGGGTTTAGGGTTTAGGGTTTAGGGTTACTAGGGATTGAGGGAGTCTGGGCGGTGGGGGTGTTGGGGGGAGTCTACTGGGGGTTCATCAGGGTATTTGTAAGTAGGTTTCTAAGGTAATTCTGGTTAGAACTTTTTTTAGGGTACTTCTATCCCTACTTATATAGCACCCATGAACCTTAAAGTAATCCTGAACCCTACACCCTAGGCCTAAACCCGAAATCCTACTTTAAGAGTTTGGGGTTTTGGTCTTTTAAGGAATCTGGCATTGGGGGGTTTGATCCAAGTTGTGGGCCCTTTCTTGGCTTCCGTGGTTTTATACTCTTTATCCTCACAGGGTATCCCAAAAATCACCAGTTTTCTCACAAGTACGGGTGCTTTAGCACGAGGGAAGGTTTGGGGCTCGTATGGCAACCCCTACCTTGAGATCTAAACCCCGTACTCGCGCCAAGCGATGCCAAGCGAAAGCAATGCCTTTCGCCTGGGGTGTCATAAACCCATCGAAACCCTAAACCCTAAACCCCAAACCCTAAACCCTAAACCCTAAACCCTAAACCCTATTAAGAGGCAACTGCAAGAAGCGAACCAGGCTTGACCCTCTGACATGAAACCTATGCCATATTCTGGGGGCTTCGGAAGACGTTGCGCCCCAAACCCTGAGCCCTGAACCCTGAACCCTCAACCCTCAACCCTCAACCCTAAACCCTAAACCCTAAACCCTAAACCCTGCCAGGTGTCAAGCCGAACATCGACTCGTACTCCGCCTTCTTCGACAACTGCAAGGCATCAGAAATGGGGGCTCGTTCGTTGGAATGGGTATTTTGGGCAGCTTGTCGTAGCCCTAAACCCCCCCGCTGTGTGGGAGTGAACAAGAAGAGGCAATACTGATTCCGCTCCTGTATGAATCTACAAAAAATGAATATACATATATATATATATAGACATATCTAGAGACATAATTCAAAATCATATGTATAGCATATTAAAGAAATATCCCCAAATAGCTAGGGTTTAGGGTTTAGGGTTTAGGAGTTAAACACAAAAAAGGTTCAGGAGCTTTCGGAGTGCAATATGCATTGCAAGGGATTCGGGTTAAGGCAGCTCGGTATGTTGGGGTAGGTAGAACAGGTATCTCAGCTCTCCCAATGCCCTTTGTAGGAATATGCAGGCTTCAGAAAATAGTAGGGGTCTTACTTTGACTCAGAAAACCTTAAGCCCGGGGTCTCACTATGACACAGAACACCCTTAAACTTACTGTTGGTTAGCAGGGAATGAGGGAATTGTGGCCCTATATACACCCTTCAGGATTACATTGGGTACCTCATTCCCTCATTCCGTGCTAACCACCAGTAAGTTGAGATAGACGCTAAGCCCTTAGATTCCTGAATCAATTGCTGAGAGCTGGAAGTCGTGTTGAGGCGAACGACACGGGCCTGAGGCTTATGCTGGAGGAGAACCAGGCCAAGGGAGCATTGTAGGGCAGTTTGGAGAAAAAGGGTTCAGGGTTTAGGGTCCCTAAACCCTGAACCCTGAACCCTAAACCCTAAACCCTAAACCCCCCCTATTGGGATCCTTGCTTCGGGCATGTCAGTTCTGCTGGGCAGGCGGCAAGCAAATGGCGATAAATAGTGCAAGGGTAAAAGAATATCATATTACGGCAATACTCAGTGGGCCTGTAGGGGCAATTTACAACTTTCCCTTTTGGGGTTTAAGAGGATCATGTTCTGGAGCATTTTTTCCGAGGGGTGTAAGGGGGGCCATCCTCGAATCGGATATCTACAGCAACGCAGGTCGATGACCGTGTAACAGTATAACAGGATGACAAGTCTACTATAACAATCAAACAGTATCAAGGTATATAAGAATCTAGGAATGCGCTAAGTAAGTCTGGCAGTGTCACGATCTAAAGATGTAATAGTGCAGTATGTGGCTGGGCTTGGACTCTGAGGGTAGTTATACAGTCCCTCAATATGGTCCTTTGCCTTTTCTAAAGGGTTCTGAAGTACGTGCCCGTGGGTTTTGTAGGGTACATACGACCCTAAACCCTCAACCCTAAACCCTGAACCGGGGTCCCCTTTAAGGGCCCGAATCAAGGGACCGTCCTTTGCCTTTTCTAAAGGGTTCTGAAGTACGTGCCCGTGGGTTTTGTAGGGTACATACGACCCTAAACCCTCAACCCTAAACCCTGAACCGGGGTCCCCTTTAAGGGCCCGAATCAAGGGACCGTCCTTTGCCTTTTCTAAAGGGTTCTGAAGTACGTGCCCGTGGGTTTTGTAGGGTACATACGACCCTAAACCCTCAACCCTAAACCCTGAACCGGGGTCCCCTTTAAGGGCCCGAATCAAGGGACCGTGCAACTGCCCTAAGGCCTTGGTTGGAGGCTCAGTTTGACATCGAAGCTTGGGATTGGGGTTTAGGGTTTAGGGTTTAGGGTTTAGGGTTTATGGCTTAGGGCCTGGGGTTTATGTTTTAGGTTCTAGGTTTTGGGGTTTTTGTTTGCAGTCTCGAGCCAGAGTGTCGACAGGTGACGGATGTCTATTGCTGCGGCCTTGTCTTTGACATTTGCGAGCCTTGCTTGCATACAGACACGTATTCTGAAGAGCTTGCAGTTCATGCTGTACTTTTGCCGTACATGTTCCCTCCTAGATCAGGTCAGTGCCCTTGAGCCGAAGGGCCTAAACCCTAAACCCCGAGCCCCCTACACCCTAAAGGCCAGCGTTTGCTAGGCGAGTGGCGTAGTGGAAAGGCTTCGGCATGATCTGCCCATCACTCTGTCTTCTCAATCAGAGGTTTAGGGTTTGGGGTTTAGGGTTTAGGGTGCAAGGACACTTATCAATCCTACTGAAATTTGGTGCGGCAGCAGCTACCAGATTCGGCAGAGGGTTTCGACACCGAGCTGGAAAGCACCTTGCGCAACTCAGCAGGTACTCCCCAAAGCAAACCAAAACCACCTTCAAGTAAATGCACAACCAGCGCAAGTCCTCAAAAAGACTCTAGACACTAAAACCTCAAACTCTATAAATCATAAACCCTACTATAGGAAACCCTAAACCCTTAAACCCTAAACCCTAAACCCTAAACCCTAAACCCTAAACCCTAAACCCTAAACCCTAAACCCTAAACCCTAAACCCTTAAACCCTAAACCCTAAACCCTAAACCCTAAACCCTAAACCCTAAACCCTAAACCCTAAACCCTAAACCCTAAACCCTAAGCAGCCAGAGACCGGTGTAGGTGAAGTCCTCAGCCCTTCATGGCGCCGAGCTTGGCTTCCGAGTCTCAGTGATCGAAGCTGCTTGGCTAGGAAGGTGGTTTGGGTAGGGTTTAGGGTTTAGGGTTTAGGGTTTAGGGTTTAGGGTTTAGGGTTTAGGGTTTAGGGTTTAGGGTTTAGGGTTTAGGGTTTAGGGTTTAGGGTTTAGGGGTTAGGGTTAGGGTTTAGGTTTGGGTTTAGGTTTAGGGTTTAGGGTTTAGGGTTTAGGTTTAGGGTTTAGGGTGTAGGGTTTAGGGTTTAGGTTTAGGGTTTTGGGGTTTAGGGTTTGGGTTTAGGGTTTAGGTTTAGGGTTTCGGGTTTAGGGTTTAGGTTTAGGTTTCGGGTTCAGGGTTAGGGTTAGGGTTTAGGGTTTAGGGTTTGGGTTTAGGGGTTTTTAGGGTTAGGGTTTAGGGTTTAGGGTTTAGGGTTTAGGGTTCAGGGTTCAGGGTTCAGGGTTCAGGGTTTAGGGTTTAGGGTTTAGGGTTTAGGGTTTAGGGTTTAGGGTTTAGGGTTTAGGGTTCAGGGTTCAGGGTTCAGGGTTTAGGGTTTAGGGTTGGGGTTCAGGCGAGATTACCGGGCCATTGTTGAAGGTCATTGTACATGTTCATGAGCACTTTAACCCCAACAAAAGAGAAACAATACACAGTACCCCAACAATGGTTCATATTATGAATAGAGTCTCTGGGGCTTGGGATTAAACAGGGGCTTTGGGTGTAGAATGTGGGTTTAGATTTTTGGGCCGAGGGGTTAGGGATGTACGGAATTCAGGGGTTTTGAGGACAAAGGTTTTGGTAGCCCAGTGGTATCCTTTTCGCTTTATTTTGGGTTCTGGTTTCCCTTATCAAGTAACTGACCCTAAAAAAGGGTGCGCGAATTGTGGTAGTGTTTAGTTTCGGGATACACGCGCCCAATACGCTAGACTCCTAGAACCTACCGCCGAGAAGCTCGATGAAGCCTGTCAACCCTGAACTCTTTCGTGTTGCCCATCAAGTAGCCTAGAGCTTTCTGGTTAGCAGGAAGTGTGAAGCGACGTTTCAGAGGGGCTCTTGCAAAGGGCCCCCGGAATATTGACGACATGTAGATCTTTACACATATGTAGGTGTAGTATCTCTCCCTCTCCCTCTCCCCCTCCCCCTCCCCCTCCCCCTCCCTCTCCCTCTCCCTCTCCCTCTCCCTCTCCCTCTCTCTCTCTCTCTCTCTCTCTCTCTCTCTCTCTCTTTGCGGCAGGGTTGCATTGACGTATCTTACTTCGTTGCATTCATGCATTGCTTGAAGGGCGTTGGGCTCTGTGGAGACCTTAAGACGTCCCTGGAAAGTCATGGAACTAAGGATGCCTGTCGCCCCCTTTCTGACAAGGAGGCCTTGCTTTTGGGGCTTTAGGGTTTAGGGTCTAGGACTTGGCCCCCCGGGGCCGTGTAAAAACAGGGGCCCAACAAAAAAAGAAACCTTCAGGGAAGACTTAGTGTCTGAAGGTTTAGGGGTTAGGGTTCAGGGTTCCGATTGAATCCTCAATTGGGTTTGTAGTTCTGTGTGGCCGGCGTGCCACGTTTGGCACTGTTGGTTGCATGCAATTAGCAAGCTTGTGGTTTGTTACCCTAAACCCCGAAAACCTAAGGGGCATCTGGTATCTGGAGTGGCTCGCTTGCTGGGACCAGGCCCCTAAACCCTAAACCCTAAACCCGAAACCCTAAACCCTAAACCCTAAACCCTAAACCCTAAACCCTAAACCCTAAACCCTAAACCCTAAATCCTAAACCCTAAACCCTAAACCCTAAACCCTAAACCCTAAACCCTAAACCCTAAACCCTACGCTCGGACTTCAAGCAGCGGAGAGTCGCCCCAACAACCTTTCAGTCCCCTGCCAGCTGTTGTTCGATAAGAACTATTCAGCATACCTTGGGATGTTCCCCCTTATACTAACATGGGTTTAGGGTTTAGGGTTTAGGGTTTCGGGTTTAGAGTTCCCCCTTATACTAACAGTCCTTAATAGGGATTAGAATAGGGGGTTACTATAATCCCGACTAATAAGGGGGAACATCCCAAAACATACCCTTTAGGGCACACCCTTTCTAAGAAATTCAGGGGCATGGTACAATCCTCCCTTAGACTCGCTTATGTTCTCCTTTTGTCGGCTGAAGGGGTACGGGTTTGGGGTATGGTGAGTTATTCTTGGAGTGTCGGGGCTTTGGGGGTTCTGGGTAAACAGGTTCTGGTAGATATCGCGTAGAGCCCGGATGCAAAAAAGGGTAAACGGCTCAGCAGGCCTGAAGCTGACTTTTTTTACCCAAGTCATGTTGGACACCCCCCCCCCCCACTGTAAGATAAGTTTGCTGGGATTTGTGGCCAGGGCCGCTGTTGGACGGGCTTGCAGGGCTTGGGGTTCAGGGCTTGGGAACCCTTCTTTTTGCGTTTAGCTTAAGACGGTCTAGGATTAGGGTTTAGGGTCTCGGGCACTGAGTCTATGAATTGGAGCTTTAAGCGTTAGGGGTTGTGAGGTTTGGGGCACATTCTCGGGTGCCTACTTTGCTGCGCCTCTGAAAAGTTTAAACCCTAAACCCTAAGCCCTAAACCCTAAACCCTGAATGACCCTGAATGACCCTGGAGGTCGGTCCGACCAAGGACGTCTTGGGCAAGGTTGCGATCTGCTAGGGCTTTGGGTTTTGGGATTTAGTTTTGGGATGTTCCCCCTTATACTAACGGGGTTTAGGGTTTAGGGTTTCGGGTTTAGGGTTCCCCCTTATACTAACAGTCCTTCATAGGGATTATACTACAAGGTACTATGATCCCCATTAAGGACTGCATGTTAGTGTAAGGAGGAGCATCCCAAGTTTAGTATGTGTAGTAGGCTTTGGTGAGCTTTTGGGCCAGCTGCAAACTCTAGCTCTGGACACTGGACACCTGATCGCTTCGGACCATCATGAGACTCCAAACCCTAAACCCTAAACCCTAAACCCCGCTTCAATGTGTTCTCAAATTCGCCCTTACAAGGATGCCAGGTGCAGTTTCTGAAGAAAAGGGTAGCCTTTCTGGGGCTTTACAATAGGAGCATAGCATTTTGGGGTTGGGAAGTACATAGATAAAACCCTAAAACCCTAAAAAAACCCTAAAACAACCCTAAAACCCTAAACACCCTAAAACCCTAAAACCCTAAAACCCTAAAACCCTAAAACCCTAAAACCCTAAAACCCTAAAAACCCTAAAACCCTAAAGCCCTAAAACCCTAAACCCTAAAACCCTAAAACCCGAAAACCCTAAAACCCTAAACCCCAAAAACCCTAAAATCCCTAAAGCCCTAAACCCTAAAACCCTAAAGCCCTAAGCCCTAAAACCCTAAAACCCTAAAACCCTAAACACCCTAAAACCCTAAAACCCCAAAACCCTAAAAACCCTAAAACCCTAAAGCCCTAAAGCCCTAAAACCCTAAAGCCCTAAAACCTAAAACCCTAAAACCCCTAAATCCCTAAAACCCTAAAACCCTAAAACCCCAAAACCCCAAAACCCTAAAAAACCCCAAAATACCCTAAAACCCTAAAACCCGAAAACCCGAAAACCCTAAACCCTAAACCCTAAACCCCACAAAAAAAGCAACTGCCCCGGCTGCAAGGCAGGCGTGAATGTTCTCTCCGCGGCCGCTGCTGCGGAAGTGCCTCCATGGCTTTTGTTGGGTTTAGGGTTTAGGGTTTAGGGTTTGCTTTTGGGGGGGAAGTGCGTTTTAGGGTTCAGGGCTGGGGGTTTAGGGTTTAGGGTGAGTACGCGAGCGAGAGCGAGCGAGAGAGAGTGAGAGAGGTAAAAGTGTGCTGAGCAACAAGAAGAAGAGATGAGAAAAGAAGCGAAACAAGCAAGAATGCTTCTTCTTCGTCATTAGAACACGTTTTGACCGAGCCGTGTGTATATACATATATATATATATATATATGTGCAAGTATGTGCGTATTGTGGATATATATGTAGCTAATTAGGGCTCAGGGTCCCTAAACCCTAAACCCCATAGCTAAACCCTGCAGTAGTCCAACGACGAACTCAGAGACCTCTGAAGTGCTCCCCACCCGGAGTGTGCGAGAGTGCTGGGCGGGTGGCAAAAATAGTGGTTTAGGGTTTAGGGCTTAGGGCTTAGGGCTTAGGGTTTAGGACTTGGGGTTTAGGGCTTCGGGTTTAAGATTTAGGGTTAATGGTTTAGGGTCTAGGACAGGGTCCAGGGTTGGGAGCTTCCGGCTGAGGAGCCTGCTGAAATCAGGCACACATAAGAAGGGGCTATGAGAAGGGCAACTCTGGTTCGAACATTTTTCAGGGTACTTGTATACGTCCATTAGGGTACCTATAAGGCGGGGTAGAAGTAGGCTACTCTTGCAAATCTAAACCTTAAACCCTATATACCCTAAAGCCAAAACCCACCCCCATGAACCTCCCATTGAGACAGGGGGTGTAAGGCCTCGAGTACGGCAGGGCCTGTGTCAGGATCACAAGTCGCAGGCCCAGTCCCAAAATGAATATGGGTTTAGGGTTTAGGGTTTAGGGTTTAGGGTTTAGGGTTTCCTGCCGTGAGCCTGTGCTCAACATCACAATGGATCAGTGATACTGCTATCTTTTTGACTAGACATTGTGTTAATTTAGTTAGTTATTTGTGAAGAGGGTCTCGCGGTCTTCCTAGGCTGCGAACACACTGAACCCTGACTTAAGCCCGAAACCCTAACCCGCAACCCTCAACCGACCATAGCTAGCCACTGTGTTGTCGAGTGTACTACTTCGAAACCCAAACCCCTGGACCCCTAAACCCTCAAGCCCTAAACCCTAAACCCCAAACCCTAAGCTCTAAACCCAAACATTAAGACGAGCCTTCAGGAAGCCAAGCAGATGCGGTCGGCGGCCAAGATGGAAGTGAAGGACCCTGCTTCTCCAAAGGGGCACACTTAGCATGGATTTTAGGGGTTGCCATTTTTATCACTCTTGGGGTAGTTACATGGCCCCTTAGTGTGGTCCCTTACCTGCTTTAAGGGTCTGAAGTATGAGCCCTTGGTTTTATAGGTATGTAAGGGGTAGATAAGGCATCCCCTTTTAAGGGCCCATATGAAGGGACCATGTAGCTACCCTAAGAAGCCCCCGTGGTGCAGAGTGTCGGGCCTGTGGGATCGGATGGCTGCCCCCCCTCTATGGTTTACGGCAGGGTTTAGTTGGGCGCGGGTGTTTTCGGATTTGGGGCCGTTAAACAACCCAACCGTACTTCGAGGTCTAGGCACCTTGTCAAGGTTGTGGAGGACAGAGTTGGGATGGGCTTAGCGTAAGTTTAGGGTTTAGGGACAAAGGGACCCTGCTCAAAGGCACATTAGCTGCGTGGCTGCGTGGCATGGGTTTGTGGGCTTAGGCTTCCCAAGGGTTTAGGCCTTGGCGGTTCATGGGTACTTACAACAGTAGGGGTTATAAGTAGGGTAGCTATGCTGATAGCCTTACTTGGGATACTTGTAACCCTACTTTAGAAGTACCCATGAACTTTCAAGAAGGCTTCAAGTCATCAGGATGCCAGGGTTAGGGTTTAGGGTTTGGGGTTTAAGGTTTAAGGTTTAGGGGTTTAGGGGTTTAGGGGTTTAGGGGTTTAGGGGTTTAGGGCCGGTTTAGGGGTTTAGGGGTTTAGGGTTTAGGGTTTAGGGTTTAGGGTTTAGGGTTTAGGGTTTAGGGGTCGGCACCCCGGCTGAGCTGATTGGCAGGCCTGGCCTCAATGTTCTAGACTTCCATGTTGAGATGTTCCCCCGCATGCTAACAGCTCCTGAATAGGGATTATAGTACCCCGGAGTAGGCCCTTATTCCCCTTTTTTAGGGTTGGGGGTTCCCTTCTGATTGATTCCCTTCAGACCAAAGCAGGGCAAGCTTGTTATTCCTAGGTTAGTCCTTTGTCTAGGGGATTCTAGTACCCCCTAGCATAGTCCCTTTTGAGGACTGTTAGTGTAGGGGGGAACATCCCAATTCCCATGGCACTACATGTGGATCCTAGACCCTAGACCCCAAACTTATACTGCATAAAGCAAGCAGAAGCGGAGACTCCAAGGCCCCATGTTGGCAGACAAGTTGGCCCTCCCCAACAACCCTAAATCCCAACACAGGGCACCAAGTCCTAAACTCCCCGAGTCCCCCCGAAGAGTAGGAGAGCTGAAGCACTGGACGCATCTCCTTTGCGTGAGGAGTACGTGAAGCAAGTGAAGCAGCACAAGCACGCGGCAGCCTTGCACAAGATGGAGACGCTCTCATCCCATGCGCCGGCATGAGTCGGAGTGCAACTATCCGCCCTCAGCTATCTCAATTCTGGTCCCTTTTTGTGATCCCGCTTAGAAGAGGATTCAATGCAGCAAAGCATGCTTCGCTATAGAAGCCCTTAGAACAAAAAGGTACCATAATTGAGTGGCCAGCCATCCAGACAAGGGGCTCCTGAGAACGAGGGTCCCGGAGCTCTGCCAGTTCGCAAACCGGTCTTCTCACAGGATTCCAAGGGAGGCCACCCTCCGCAAAAGGGACATAAGGGTTTAGGGTTTAGGGTTTAGGGCCTCTGGTAGGGCCTGTCAGGGTTAGTGTTTAGGGTTTACGGCTTAGGGCCTACGAAGAGGGCAGCAGCTAGGGCTGCTAAGTGCAATGTGGACCCTTGTGTATTGCAGTGGCTCCTTGTCATTCTTGAGGGTGTCTCCCTTGGGATCCTATGGCCTGCCCTGGCACATCGCTTCTTTGCGAAGCAATCCGAAAACTCAGAAAAGGCAGGCTGGCATGATGGTGGTTTAGTGAGTAGGGGTTTAGGGTTTAGGGTTTAGGGTTTAGGGTTTAGGGTTTAGGGTTTAGGGTTTAGGTTTGGGAGTAGGGAACCACACTGGCATTCTTTGCCGCTCTTAGCCGTCATGCCTAGACTCCCCAAAGCCTAAACTCCCTAAACCATGGAGACAACCCTAAACCCTAACCCTAAACCGTCTCTGAGTCCGAAGCCAGCCTCCATGAGCCATTCCCAGCCAGAACAACAACCGTTCCCTCAAGCACCCAGAACATCCGCCGGAAGCTCTAGAACAGAAAGCCCTCTCGGTAGCCCAGTGCTACCCTTTACCCTTTTTTTGGTTTTGGGTTCCCTTATACAGTAACCAACCCAAAAAAGGGTGCCCTTATTATAGTATGGCTACTGGGCTACTAAGCCCTTAGAAGCCCTAATAGACCTTGGGATGTTCCCCCTTATACTAACAGTCCTCAATATGGATTGCAGTACCCCCCATTATAATCCCTAGTAAGGACTGTTAGTAGAAGGGGGAACATCCGAACCCTAAACCCCGAATCTGGTTCTACTGGTCGCTGAGCGATTACATCCTACGCCCCTGCTCCTGCGAAACGCGTAGGCTTCCCACCATCCACCTTATTGTTCATGTGGGTTGGAAGCTCAACTGACCCTGGCACCCAAACTCCGGGCTTCTTTTGCCTGAGATCAAGAGTACATGTCTTTGCGTAGATACTACAGGTAGCCACGAAACGCCGTAAGTCCTTAAACCCTAAAGCCCTAAACCCTAGAGCCCTAAAAGCCTAAAACCCTAAACCCTACACCCTTTTGAATAAATTCTTTCCCATGCCAGCTAGGCGGGTGGCAAAACATAACCTTTCCCACCCACACCGAAAACCCTAAACTCCGGACCCGGCCGTGGACAGGCCGCGGCAATGGCGGCCCTTTGCGGATCTCTGGGCCTGGCGAAGCTTCAGGAGGAGGTTCCAACAATCCAAAAGTACCCCTAAACCCTAAATCTTAAGCCCTAAGTCCTAAACCCTGAACTCTGGAGCCTGGAAGCCCCCCAAAATGCCGAAACCCTAAACCATAGACCCCCAAGACCTCGCGTAGCCCCCTTCAGATATGCCGCTATTCCCCAAGCCCTAGATGGTTTTTCTAAACTGGGGCCCCCTTTTGGCGTCCTTACTTTCAGGCAGCCCCTTTTGTTTCGGGTACCCCAGAAAGGGACCATATTTTTGGAGGACTGACCATATAACTCCCCAGCGTCTAGGGTTTTGAGGGCTAAACACACCCTATGGCTGTGAGTTAACAAAGCTTATTCAGGCGGATTTTAGGATTTTTGGGCTTAGTATTGTTGTTTCAAACTTAGCACCCGAAACCCTGCAACTCCTCCTAAACCCTAAACGCCCTAAACCCCAAACCCTAACCCCAAAACCCCAAACCCCAAACCCTGAACCCTAAACCCTAAACCCTAAACCCCAAACCCCAAACCCCAAACCCTAAACCCTAAACCCTAACCCCCTAAACAAGCTTTAGCACTGGCAGGGCTCCGCCACCGAAACCAGGGCTCGGGACCTGTGGACACCCGCGTGGTCTTTGAGGGTTTAGGGTTTAGGGTTTAGGGTTTAGACGTCACCTAAGTCAGGTGCATGAGTAGGGTTATTAGCAGGGCTGACTTGGAAGTTCATGGGTAGTTAGAACTGCCTTTGCCCTACTTATACCCCCAGTTAGATGGATCCATGAATCTCCAAGTAGGGTTGCGGGTTTAGGGTTTAGGGTTGGGACGTTCCCCTATACTAAAAGTCCTTAATGGTTCGGGTGTTACTAGAATCCCAATTACGGACTGCTAGTATACGGGGGAGCATCCCAAATTTAGGGATTTAGTTGCGCTTAAGGTCACAGATCTTCAGGGCCTTTTTTCGAGCAGACCCTCACACCCAATGCAGCCATGATGCCTGGAAGTGTGCTGGCACCCTTCATTGTACTTGAGTTTCTTGGCTCGTTTTCCTAGTGATTCTTCCCAGAAAGCCGGGGAACGGACCTTCAGTCATTGGTAAGAGGTTCTTGTTAAATTTGAATTGAAGGCCTGTTGCTGCTTTTGGAGGGGTAAGATGGTCTAGGTGGGACTTGGGCCATTTCATATTGGGTTAAGAGGATATTGTCAGAGGGCTTTAAGGGACATCCTACTATAAGATGGTTGCGAGGCTACCAAGTCTAGGACTTCAAGTCATGAATCGTTTGAGTTGGGGATCATGGTTGCATGCGGCGGAGGGTGGCTATTTCAGAGGGGTTTAAGGGTCATCCTAGTGCCCTAAACCCTAAACCCTAAACCTAGGGGGGGGGAGGCTGCTCTGTGGCGCTCAACTTCTCGAATTTGCAGTGGAGATCGGCAGTATTTGGGACATCCTTTGGCTGCATGAATAAGGGTTTGGGTTTTAGGGCTCAGGGTTTAGGATTTCGGGTTTCGGGTTTATAGGGTTTAGGGAAAGTTGATGCTGCCCTGGGCTGGCTCATGCCGATGCCTGATCATAGCATGATGCCGTGAGGAAGCTCCATCCCAAGCATCTCTAGTAAATGGGCATGGCCCGTCATTGTTAGACTGCTTAGTGTGCTAACCCGCTTGTGCCAAGCTGCAAACGCCAGTAGTTTAGCACATGACCAGCAACATGCGCTGGTTCTTGGTGCTGCTCCTGGCGTGCATTGCAGGACTGCGACCAGGGCGCGCCTGGTTGAAACGGTTCAGAGGTCAGGGTTTAGGGTCAAGGGCTCACGTTCCCGCCCCCCCTCCCCATGTATCTGTACCAAGCGTGATTGTGCATGTACACCTTTGTCATAGAAAGACTCCCAACCATAAACTAGATACTCCTTGTGTACTTCTGTACCCAATCCTCCCTTCGAGGAGCTCAGCCGGACTTCTCCGATTTCGCAGTGCCGGCGTGATTGTCCCGCTCATGCGATTGCTTAAAGGTTCTGCTTGGGCCCAGAAGTCTACCTTGGCCCTTGAATATGTTTGCTGTTTCTATGCTAGGTATCGAACTTCTTTGTTCGTATGAAATGGTAATCCCTTCCTCCTGATATAAGTACACCCCGAATATACAAAACCCTCTGGCCCCAAAACCCGGTCCGGCAGTCGCCCCTTTTAATATCTCTGCAGTTAGGGGCGGAGGAAGCCTGAAACCTGTTGAGCCGAAAGCGTGAAACCTGCTCTATGACTGAGCCAGCAAGCTAGAAGGACGGGTTGTTTGTTCGGACAAACGATACGAACACGAACCCCCCCCCCCCTCATGACTAAAAACCCTTTGGGGGTGTTGGGGTTTTTTATACTGGGGGGGGTGGGCAGGGGGGGTGGCGGGGACCCTATAATATTCAGGGGAAGGGATTACTCGTTTTTTCTCCTAGCTCATGCTGCAAAACCTAGGAGGCTCTAGGAAAGACAATCTGCATCCCGAAGCCCTGCACCCTAACCCCTCCCCAGGAGCAATCAGAGCCTTAAAGCCCCAATATCCGAATTCTCTCGGCAAGCGCCAGTTGTGAGAATTCGATGGTGTTGAAAAATTGCCACGTACGTATTCTCCCAAACCAGAGGTTAGTTAGCTGGCCCAGTGTCCGACAATGCTAGACTAGACTACATCGCGTGGCCGTCCCGTCGCCATGGAAGAACCTCTGGCGGTCATGGTGGGAAGCCCCTCCCAGCCACCACCGTCGCGCGGCGCCAAAAAGCAAAAGCGACGCAAAGTCCGCGTTCGCCGTGGTGGAAGTGTCCGCGGTGGAGGCTGCAAAGGCGCCCAGCGTGGCGCAGAAGAAGAGGGTTCAAGCTGCGAAGGCAGAAGATGACTGATGGTGAGCTTTTTTGGTTGATGGTCGGGTTGGTTTGTGGAGATGATGCAGGTTTGTTGTCGGTTTTTGAAGGTGGTTTTCTCAAGGCTTTTGGAAGGGTTTCAGGAGGATTGGTTTTTTAAGCTGTTTGAGCATGTCGAGCAGAAATTGGGCTGGCTGTCAAGAGTAGCTGCTGAGGTTGATGACAGTCACTTTGGAGTAGAGCAGGTTGTTTGTACCATACCAACTTTACCAATGTTTGAGACGACTTGTCCTAAGGTGCTTGTGGAAGCACCATTGTTCAGGGATCAAGAGGGTTGTCAAAAAGCTTGTATAGAGTTAAGACGGCCTGTTTGGCATTCTTCAAACAAACAAGTTCTCAGTCCAAAGGACTTTTGAGTAGAAAGATGCCAAAGGAGAACACCGAGGCATTCACGTGGAATTCACCGCTCTCACGTGGCAATCACTGCCTGCAGATCCCATCGCAACGCCTGAAGCGCTCACCTCCCTTCCGCCGCCAGAGGCTTCGAAGGGCAGGAAGAGCTCCTTGGCTTTGGTGGCGCATCAGTTGGAGAAGGAAAACGGTGCAGAAGCCAACAGATGTGGATGGTCTAGGGCGCAAGTGGTGCTTCTGCTGTGACCTGGCTCGGATTGCAAAGTTTGTTAAGATTGGCAGGGATGGGTTGCAGAACCTTGTGGGCTTGCTGTAGACTGTTGCTTATATAGTTTCGCAGGAAAGCACTTCTTCATGTTGTCGCCGCAAAGTCAAGTCAGGTACACTTTGGTGCGAATCGTGGCTAATGTGTGCGTAGTTCAAACTGCATACCCTTGGATTGATGAGCCAGTCATCATCTCTGAGAGCCTTCTACTGTATGTGGATGCAGTGGCGAGACCTTTGTTCAGCGGGCTTGGAGTCTATTGCTTTCTGCGAAAGAACACGCGCTTTTCCGAGAACCTCGGACTCCACCGTTGGAGCAGAAGGACCGTTTTTTGCATGGCTTTCTGCATTGCTGACCGAAGTTTCACATTCGGCATTCAGAGACTGGATATCAATGATGTGAGTTTGATGAGTCTCATGACAGCGTCCGGGCCATGTTGGGTGTTTGCTTGCAACGCCTTGCAGTTGTACATCACGAACCTCAAATTGCAGGTGTTAGGTTGGCACTTCACAACCAGGATCTGCAAAGTGGTCCTCGTCATGTCAGTTGGTACCTTGATATACGAAATCCTGTCCTATTTTCATTATGTTGACCATGCTTTTCCCGGCCCTTGGCCATTCTTTTCCTTCGTGATTACTGTTGCTGGAATGTTGTTCGTGCAGTGCATGGCCCTGTGCTGGGCAGCCACAAGGGCATTGCTCCAGGGGGGAGGTGATGAAACCATCAGATGCTCGGCCTACTGTTTGTACGTGAACGGAGTCCTGGCGATTGCGGGGCCGCTTTTGGGCTACTTTTCTGCGGTGGCCATGTGGACAAATTTTCTTGGTCGTCGTGTCGTTTTATTCAACGGTCTTTTCGTACTTCCCCAGCTTCCCATGGTGGTTGTGAGCCTTGATGTGGGGCTCCAAGTGCTTGGAACCCTTTTGCTCACTGGCATGATTGGGCCGAAAGGTTGGGAACGGCCGATGGAGGCGTTTCGAAAGCTGGCGCACTTATCGGGTTTTGGACTGGCATCACCGCGAATCGCCTGGAAAGGCCAGATCAATGCACAAGCCACAGAGTGCATTGTATCTTTTCCTGGCAAGTACAGCGCTGAGTGGCTTCGGTTGCTTTAAGGTGACCTTGTTTTCTTTGCTTTGTTTCCTTCCTGCAGCGTGTTGTCTAAACACAAACCTTTGGCTTCATCGTCTAATAATCTGCAAACCCAAGGTGGGACAGAGCTGTAGAGAGCGTTCAGAAGGAGCAGACGTGTTCCTTAGCTTGCGTTTTCCTGACAGACCGTGATTCCGGTTTGGGTCGCCACAGTGGCAACCCTGATACACCTGGGCACTGTTGGTGTCGGACTATTTACGGGGTTTTGCCGGCTCAAACGTATTTGAGCGTGGTGGATATGAAAGACGGCAGTGATGGACCTATGACCGAAGAGAAGCTTTGGTGGCAAATCATTGCATGAATGGAGTACATAGCAAACTGCAATCGGAACAACTCAACATTTTTCGAAACTTGACCCGTGTTTTTAGAAGCTTGCCCCCCGGTAACTAAAAAGTTCTTTTCTTGTTCTTTTCAAAAGAAATAGGAAGTCTGGTGTCAAAGTCACAACTCTCAGGAACTTGGCCTCCCGCAAGGCGGATGCAGATGCCATGGGGCAGGTGTTGGTGATCAAGGATGACCAACCGGAGATGGAATGGGAGGCCGAGCTGTCACACGCCTTGAACGATGCCAAGGTCAGATGCCACAACAATCAAGGAAAAGCCCCCTGGGGATGTCAATGGTTTGAGGAGTCACTTGGGACATGTTTGAGGAAGTGCTTTGGGTGTTTGGATGACTTGTGTCTCAGGCATTCTTAATTGATTGGTTGAAATCGTGTTTGATTTGGAACTTTGTCGATTAATTTTGACAATTCCAGACGGTGGCATGAAGGTCTTGTTTTTGGGACCATAAGGTGGAGGGTGAATGTAGATGCAGCTGTGAAAAGAGAGCAGACGCTTCACGTCTTTTACTTTCAAGGTGCCTTGGCTTTTCGCGAGCTTTGCTTCATCCAACTTTTGGAGTTTGCACTTTTAGGATTTGTTTTATTTGTGCCAAGTTTAAGTAGCTTTCCAACCATATTCTTGCAGTATCTCTGCACCCCTTGAAAGCCATGAGTAACCCCCAAATCCACCTCGGTCCAAAGGTAAAGTGGGCTGTGGCAAACTGCAGTGGGAGAAGTTGTGCGACGCAAAGGCGAAGGAAGAAGCTCGGAAGAACACTGGCCTCGGTGCGTCGCAAACGGCCGAAGTGGCCTACTTGGAGAAAATGGGTTCCTTTGGCTTTGTTTGGGGGTGGAACGGGCTTCTTATACAGTCTCTTCGAAAGGCGCTTAGCCATGGATTGGTGATTTCGGTGCTGTGGACTTCTTCTGTTTATTTTGGCATCATATGTGATTGTTGTGTGATCCTGCTTTGGACGTGTGCAAGGTGAACAAACGTCATTCCTCAACTAGGGCCATTCTGAGGTTGGACGTATGAGGAGCACGACATCAGAGAGTTCGAGGACTTTTTGCAGAAGCCGCTGAGTGCGCACGAAGATTTTGGCTAAGAACCCGGCAAAGCCACAGTGTCCACCTTTTGTGGATTGCAACACTTGTCTCCAACAATTTGGACGGTTTTCGTCTGATTTTACAGCTGGTTTACATGTTAATGTGCGTGTGACGCCGAGTGTGTGTTTTTCAGCGCGGTTGTTGAGATCTCCGCAAAGTGGACTCGCTATCAATCACCCTAACCTCGATGCAAGAAGTCTTGGCAAGGAGTATGCAGACAACCATTTTCCAGGCAGCTGCAGGCATAACTATAGATGTAGAAGCCAGACTTTACCGTCTTTCTGTTTTGCATGTTTCTTTTCAACGTTTCTTATGTATCACCAACATTCAAGGGTTTGCCCTTTTCCACCTAGGTCAGCACCAGCACCGTGACGTGCTGAGTGCACGATGAACCAGGAGGAGTTGAACAACGGTGGCGCCTGACGTTGGGAAAAGGAGTCGCTTGAGGTGATATTGTGTTTAAGGGCGTAGAAGACATTTCTTCCTTGGCGTCGTGCTTTCAAGATGTCTGATATTTCCGTGATAGTTAAGCTGTTGTGGGTGCCTTCTGAAGAAAGGGAATGTCTAGAAACGGCAGTTAGAGAGGAGGAAGGTAAGTAGGAGCTGCAAGAAAGCAGTTCGACCTTGTGCATTTGCGGCGTGGCTTTGCCAATTTGGGTGGAGCTTCGCCATAGACAGAAGTGTCATGGTGATGTTGCATGATGTTGTGTGCTCTGCAATGTTTCAGCAAAAGAAGAGTAGTTTGAGTATCTTTAGTAGGGTGTCCCCAGTGTCCTCCCATTGTAAGTAGCTAGCTCCTCCTTCCGACTCTGGGTTAGCTAAAACAGGCTGATGGTGTGCAGCGGAATAGACCTTGCCACACCCTAAACCCTGAACCCTAAACTAAACCCAAAACCTTCAACCCTACACCCTTATGGCAGGGCTTTGTCGGTCCTATGGGAGGTTCCCGGATCCAAGAGACTGCTTTGTCGTGCTCCCGTGATGCTCAAGGCAGGTAGAGGCATTGTCAAAGAATCCATGAGCTTTCCCTGGGTACCAGCATTCCTGGAAAACACACCCTTGAGAAGTTCAGCATGTTTCTGGGACACAGAGGGAGCAAGAGCGAGGGAGGGAGTTGCAGGGTTCCCCTCTCAGCGACTCAGAATCTAAGAGCAAGAAACTAAAAAAGTGCAACACGCTTGCGACATGATCCCCCCTGTGTTTAGATGAAGTCAAGTCAGGGCAGTCAGGGCTCTCAGGACCTCCAAGACAACATCTTTCGCGCACGTGCAAACCCTAAATCCTCACTCAACCCCCAATGTCATCCAAATACCCCTTGAGAAGGGTCTCAGCGTACTGGAAAAAGGGGTGTACTTGCGTTATCTGAGAGGCCACTTCGGGGGGGGGGGGGGGGGCTAGACCGATGCCAGGACACCATATACTTCAGCAACGCCGGTTCTTGGCCCCAGAACCGTGGAATTGATGCTTAAATGCTTCGCAGGGTTCCTTACTATAATCTATAGTTCTGAATAGGGTGCTTATACCCCCTTATGATACTGATAAAATATATATATATATACATACATACATACATACATACACATACCGATACCAACATTCGGGCATGTACATATATATATATATGCACACACATAAATAATTACACAAATAAGTAAACACATTAATATGCATATATATACATATACATACATACATATATATATATATTATTTTGTGTGTTTCTTTCTATTTGTTTATACATAAAAGTTCGATGTGTCTTCTGTTTTTTATGCCCCGCAGGTCCCGCGGGCCAAGGACGCACACTTCAGACAGCCCAACCCCTGAATTGAGGAATGCGCCAGAAGTTCTTTCGAAGCTCCTTGTGGGTTCTGGAGCCCGGTTATCTTGCAGGAGTGGGGTCGAAGGTTTCGGGCTTTCAGGTGACCCGAGCGTCCTGAAGCGTAGCCCCCTAAACCCTACACCCTGAAATCCTGAACCTTAAACCCTACACCCCTAAACCCTAAACCTGAAACCCTACACTCTAAACCCTAAAGGCCCTAAACCCTCCACCTGAAGTTGGGCGCTTTGCGAACCCTTGGACCCTTACATGGAGGTTCATGGTACTTTTAACCAAATATTCCTGTACTTCTAACCCAGTTATAAGCCCCTTAAGTGCCCTAATATGGTGATAAGTACAGTTATATGTACAGTTATAATTGGTTAATAAGTACCATGAACCTCCAAGTACTGCAACCCCTGGGCTCCTCCAGGCCCTGCCAATGAAATGAGAGCGCTCAGCCTGCAGGACGTCTTGCTTCAATGATTGGTTTAGGGCCTCTAGATTTGGATGTTCCCCCTTATGCTAGCAGCTCCTTAATAGGGATTATAGGACCCCCTATGATCATCCCTATTAAGGACTGCTAGTATAAGGGGGAGCATCCCAACCTAGAGGTTTTGGATTTTGGGGTTTAGGGCTTCGGGGGGTGTAGCGTTTAAGTTTGGGCCTTCAGACCAAAGAGGAGGGCCTTGTAGGGCTCCGTGTTGTAGCGCAGGCTGCCAGCTGAACTATCCCTAAACCCTCAACCCTAAACCCTAAAGCCTAAACCCTTAACCCTAAACCCTAGAAACCCCTAAACCCCTAAACCCTCCTAAAGCTCAAATCTTTCTGCCAAACGACTGTTGGTGCCCAACCTGAACTTGGGGTTTCATAGTTTCCCTGGTAGATTGGGGTGAGCGGTAGGTCTCTTAATTAAGGTCCCTTTTGGGTTTAGGGCTTAGGGCTTAGGGTTTAGGGTTTAGGGTTTAGGGTTAGGGTTTAGGGCTTAGGGTTTAGGGTTTAGGCTTTAGGCTTTAGGGTTCAGGGTTAGGGTTTAGGGTTTACACTAGAATACTGCACCCTTGTAAAAAGGACCCCCCAAAAAGGACCCGATTTTTTTCTCAGAGCTACCCAGACAGATGCGAGCCCGGAGAAAGAATATCTTATTTCTGATCAAGGTACATGAAACCTAAGTTGGGGGTGATCTACCCTACACTACTATAATTCTTATGAAGGTATATGGCCACTTCTCTACATGATGGCTTTTGGGATTACTACTATAAGGCGGCCCCGAATGCTTAGGGTACCCAGAAAAACACCCTAAACCCTGAACCCTAAAAAGAAGAAGCAAGCCAACACCGAGACCACAAGCTTTCCGAAGTCAGAATCACATGCCGAAACCTCTTGGGCCGGGTTCAGGGCTTAGGGCTTAGGGCTTAGGGTTTAGGGTTTAGGGTTTAGGGTTTAGGGTTTAGGGTTTGCATACACTTGGCCAGGACTTCTTCAGCGATGCCACCACCACGCCCCCTCCTGTGGGAGCCTTAAAGAAAAAGGTCGTTTCAACCCCAGGGAGCACCAAGTGCCGAAAGACCTGCGTCAAAAAGCCCTAAACCCTAAACCCTAAACCCTAAACCCTAAACCCTAAACCCTAAACCTAAACCCTAAACCCTAAGAGAGTAGGGTTTCACGGACCCTAAACCTCGCAGCCATGGCACAGCCTCTCTCTACTTCTTCTGAGGGGGTTGTATCTAAGAAGTATTCAACATACCCCCTGGGCATACCCTTAGAGGAAATAAAGGGGCGTGGTAAAATCCTTCTTTATATGATCCATTTATAGATTAAGGGGTGTGGGTTTTGCAAAAGCGGCAACCGTTGCTTTGACAACTGCGGAGGCAGAAATCAGGAGGCTGATTGCCCGAAACAGGACGCCGCTATGGAATGCCAAGGTTCGTTTCAAGGGCCCACACCACTTCATTCAGGAATAGCGCCTTAGCACATAGTAGGGGTTTTGATGTCATGTAGATATACTTGGCGGTTCCCTGACACTCCACCTACTCATGAGCCTACAGGTATTCCTTCATTGCAGTAGACTGCATAAAGTTGGAACATGGTTTAATGACGATTAGTGATGGGATTCCCTTTAGCAACCCTCTTGGGGTATGAGGATAATGATGTTCCTTTGGGACTTTACACATGTTTACACCCTAAACCTAAACCCTAAACTCTAAACTCTAAACCCATTGAAGCGTCCTGGGCCCTCACGGAGTGTACTGTGTGGGGTGGTAGTTCCCTGTGCCAAATCCCTAAACCCTAAACCCTAAACCCTCTCGACCCTAAACCCTAAACCTTAAACCCTAAACCCTAAACCCTAAACCACCGAGGCTGGCGGGTCGGTGCCCAGGCGCTCCAGTTGGGGAATCGCAGAGATCACCCCCAAAGGGTCCATGTACTTCTATAGTATACTCCCTGAAGTTACGACTTAGGAACCCCTTGAAGGCCCAAGTATATACTACATAGGTACAGGGACCCTTTGGGTAGAGGAATTTGCAGGTTTTTTGTTTTTCAGGGGGCTTCGGGTTTAGGGCCCCCTCAAAGAGATCCGGAGATCCGGGTCGAAAAGCTTGGCTTTAAACACATCTATAGCCCGGAGGGCTCCAGGCTCAACAAAACCGGTTTAGAGTTCTCAGATGGATAGACCATCTAGGGCCATGGGCGGTCGCGAGCTGTTATGTCATGTGGGCTTTGTGTGGCGGAGTTACTACGCTACTCCGCGTTGCTGGGATACGAGCGACAGCGCACAGCTCCCGGCACGGCCTGCATGATGTCCAACGCCGGCACAGTGCGCGGCCCACCATGACAATGCTGGGGTTTCCAATGATTGCTCATCCCGGACAGGCTCAGAATGCATGACACCGCGACCCGAGGCAACAACACCGTCGTGCCGGTAGATTCAGAACCCTAAACCCTAAACCCTAACCTCTAAACTCTAAGACCATCGCGTTTTCAAGACGATAAGCATGTGCCATAAGTCGAAGCATGACTCTTTTGTTACGCTTCCTTGTTGCATCGTTGTATTGTTATGACAGGGTTCCCAGTATCTGCATGGCAAGTGTACAGGGTCTCGTTGTTACGAGAGTGCGAGACTGTCCTGCTCTGAGCTAGTACAGCCAGGCGTCTGACCATAGCAATAAATGAGTAGACCCTCAACTGTAGTTCCTTCTGTGGGGTACCTGATTGTCATGTGATGTATAGTGATAAGAGGAACCTCCGCCAACATAAAGGAGCCACAAGTAAAGGGGGGGGGGGGTCTTGGGTTACTTGCTGAACCAAGCCACTGTCTTTCTTAAGTCTCGGTTTGGACTTCTTAGGTCTTAGGGCTTGGGGTGATTGCGGTTGCACAGCAGCATATTATGCAGTAAGAAAGTTGGCACCCAAAAGAGCAACGGAACTCAGGGCCGGCTCCTAACCACAGCCTGCCTTGAACCTTGAGCTTCGACTTATGTCCAGGGCTCACTGTCGTTTCTTTTTTTTTTTAGGGGGGGGGGGGTGGGGGGGGTGGGGGGGGTGGGGGGGGGGG